TTCTTCTTGCACATTATTTTTTTTCTTTTTCTTCTTCTTGTGTACTTTCTGTTGACTTGCATCTTCTGTTTCATTTTGTTGTTCAATACCATTATGAACAAGATTTTCATCAATTGAGACATCTTGTTCTGTACTTGTAACAGATTTATCACATTTAGACTTTTTCTTTTTACTCTTAGATTCCTTTGTGAAAGAATTTTCAGTTGCCTTTTCTCGTTTACGCTCTTCTATTCTTTTTAAGAGATTAGATAAATGCTTTTTTTCATTTTGTTTTTCTTGTTTCTTCTCACCTTCATATCTGTTGACAAATATTAAAAAAATATATTAAGAAATGCGGTAAAGTAAGTCAGTTTCTAAAATTAAAACTCCAAATACTCTTAAACTTATAAAATACAAAAAGTAAATAAATATATAGATATACCATTAATTATTTTTGTTATTTATTAATTAAAATCAATAATATTGGATTGTATTTTCTATGAAACATACCTATTTATTACGAATAAACTCATTTGTTTTGACAGCACTAACCACGTGTTATAAGAATTTATAGGTTATATGTACCACAGCTAGCATATCATTCGATACGCATTCGAACACTACCATAGTTTTTAAAATTATCTTTAATTTTTAGTATCACATTCTTCCTCCTTATTTAAACATATTTTACTCAATAAATCCTTTATTTATATTTTTTTAACAACTTATAAACAAAGTTTAAAAATACACAAAAATATTCAAAATATTTCGAAGTTCAACGTCCTATCAATGAATGGATTAAATCAAATCATACAAATTAATCTTTGATCAATGAAAACGTATAATTTACATGTACCATTGTTTACAAATTTTTAAAGATACACTATGAATATTGTATAAAGACTTATATTTAAAAATGTTATTGCTAACATTGTAATATTAAACTTAGAGTTAAAGTAAAAATGTTTCAATAATTTATGTTAATCCAATAAATATAAATGATTCTATCGATATGTAAAATTTCACAAATATTTTACATAATAAAAAAATCAGAAAAAAATATAAGAAAATATAAGAATGTTAGATGTATATTTCAAATATGAACTTAAAAGTTCGTCTGCCAAATGAGAACATTGATTCACTGTATATTAGTAATAAAAATTGGATTTGTTGGATTATTCATTTGAATTTCAACTGCCTGGTCCGAAGTACCTTGCAATTACGCATCGATGCAAATACGTATTAAACATACAGATATGATATCATAGGTACACAGTTCATTACGTTTTTATATGTACGAGCGTTTCGTCATAGCTAAGCATTCATTCATCTCACAACTATCATTGACGTATTCGCATAGTATGACTCAGATAATAAATTCAAATTTGATCGAATTTTGTCATTCGTTGAGTAACACTAAGCTGCAGTGATATCTGACTGTGAAACATAGACAATATCATTGACCACCTCTTAACATAATTCGTTACATTTCTACTTGTCCTCCTTTGGTATTAGAAAACAGTACACATTTCTTGCTTATGAGCACATATTAACCGTAGTGAACGACAATAAATTGCTTCTACAGAATAAAAAAAATTATTATACCGATTCATTTATGAAATTTGTCTATATAAAATTTCAGTGTTATTATATTTTTTTCGTTACCACAGAACATAAATTTAATGACAGACACAAGGAAAATGCTACGAAATTTTATAAATCATTCGATATTTCCATTCATTAAAAATGAAATTATGTTTCAATGCAATCGATGATTTTCTTAATAGTTTTAATTATTATACGTGTATTTGTTGTTCTTTTTCATCGTATACATTTCAAAATAATTTATTATTGATTTTATATTAGAATAATAAACCGATTTCATTTAATCTACAGTATAGAATAGGAAACACGTTTTTGCAGTAGAAAATCTCAGAAAATCTCACAGATGATTGCCGTTGTTAATTCTTATTATCTATAAATGAATATTGCGTTGCGTTTGCTCTAAATATTGAATGCAACAAACGAATTTCAGGCAGCCCGTACATTCATCGTCTATCCTTGAGTTGCCGGGCGTAGAAACCGGAAGTGTTCCCGTGAGCAGTAATTACGACACCGGTAATAGCGGAGTGTGTCTCGAGATAAATAAAGAGAATGAGTAGCGTTGTTGCGCTCCGTTCTTACACTCGTCAATTCTTTTTTTTCCATCCGACGAACGAAAGATTTCTGCGGGCTATTCTTCTTGGTAGGAACCCCTACCAGACGATGAGTCATTCGACCATCACTTTGCACTTATTTCCTGGGAATCTTATTCCGCGCTGGTTCAGCAAACGAGAGCTACAATCGTGAATTTCCGTCACGCTTTCAGGCGCGTCTTCGCTTGAGTGGAACCCTCTAAAGACACATTTACACTATCGTCATGATAGATGCCCTCGAAAAAAAGCTTCCAACAGTTCCTAGAAATAACTTTTTCCGATACTTGTTAAATATACAATAGGAATCGGTATTTTCGAATTGTTCTGCAGTCTGCACACAGGCAATTATGTCAGAAATCCTTACTATTGGAGGACACTACTCGGCGTGATCAAACTTAGCCTGTTTCTTTAACAATAGAATTACCAGATGGGTCAAAATGAACTATTCTTGATTTCATCCTTCACTGTTATTAAAATGATACAAAGTTGGAAAAAATGAAAAAGTCGGTTTAAGTATTTGGTAGTTCTAGTATTGATTAATCATACCATGTACAGTTTAGTTCGAGGAAATGCCAAACAAACACTTGTTCAAATTCGTATACAGTTAGAACAGTTTTTTTAATGAAGTAGAAACTAAAACATCAAGACTCTTCGTGGCATCATTGTCCTCTTTATATCTCATGCTTCCAGCAAAATTCAGTTTATCCGATACGTCACTAAGGACATTAATTCCCAAATCTATAAAAAATGGTGTTACCCAAATTAAAACGACGTGAATTCTAGATGGATTAGACGAATTGAAGCTACGATAGAACAGTATTCGTTAAAACTTGCATTACAAGATTTCCTGTAAACCAGTGATTTCCAATTTGAGAGGCGCGGACTAGTGCAAAAAGAGAACAGAAACGTAATTTTTGTTTTTCTTATTTTTCTACTAATACATTTTTTACCATTTAAAAATATGTCTGTATTACTTCATGAAATAAAAGGAAAGGGGAGGCGCCAAAATTTTTTAAAGGGGAGCGTAGTAACAAAGTTTGGAAATCTCTGCTCTAAGTAACAATAACAAAATAAGATAGAACTAAAATCAAATTTTATAAAATATCGATTGCACTCGTAAAACACAGTTAATCGTTTAAATATAAACCACATATAACACAAAGTTTTGAAACCACTGCCGTAAATTTGCATGTCGTAAACGCATTAACGCTTTAACTGCCACATCACCCAAATTCCCTTACTCGTCCTTTACATGAACTTAAACATTAATTTGCTTGGTGACGTATCGAACGAACCGAATTTTTTTGGATGAATACATAAGAATAATAGTAGAGCAGTCGTTACGAGGAATCTTCATTTTTTAGTTTCCGCTTCGTTAACCCTTAGAACGCCAACGTCGCTGTAAGCGACGCCAGAAATTTCTCCAAAAAATGCCAGCATCGCTCTCAGCGACTCTTTATTTTAAATAGCTACAAATGTAATTATCAATGGAATTTTTCATATTTTCTCTTGAATTTATCGCTATCAAGAAGTAAAGAGTCGCTGGCACTATTTGGAAAAATTTTCAGCGTCGTTCGCAGCGACATTGACATTTTAAGGGCTAAATAAATTATTTCGACTGTACAGGAGTTTTGATGGGTATTTACTTGGCAGTCAAAGTATTAGGGTCCATTGCCCAGTGAATCACCAGCAATGATTCTCGTGTCAATGAAGATTCATGGAAGCGGTACGAGGATCTTCCTCGGGTTTCTTCTCAAGTAGAGACGCACACTTAACGATCTTAATCCTCCACGTCATTCGGCGTCTCTACGTCGTCCTCCCCACCAGCCAATTCCTCTCCACCACTCTTTATATAGTTCATCCATGATTCGATGCCCAGTCTACGCGCACACACGTAGCAACACCGAGCATCGACGAGAATTTACAAGCAACGGTTGTTATCTCGCTACCAACTCGATAAGCAGCCAGTGACAGTGTGGCAGTAATACCAGCCGGTGTTTTGACAATATCCCCAGTGCGGTGCGAAAGGTAAAGTGACAGTTCTGCTTACATTGTTCGTCAACGTTGAAATTTTCGTAACTTTAAGGACACCCGGCAGAGTAGTTTCTTATCGATTACCGGAATCGATATCAACAACGTCAAAGGCGAAAGGGCACGCAGGTGATAGGATAAACATGAATCGCAACACTGATACCTCGATCGTCGAAGTATCTTTTCCCTTCATGCTAACACGTAATGATGTAAAAATAATTATTGAAAGATGAAGAGATAAGTGCCGGCAAGTTTACGTGCATAGAAATAGGTGTGGAATTTTGTTTAGTGAAAATTAAGTAGGTTCGGAATTTGTATTTGAACTAATTGAATATTTTTTGATGAATTGTATCGAGATTTACAGTTTTCTATATTGAGCTGTTTTGAATTGGAGTTGAATTGGAACTTAAATGTTTATCGGTTTTTTATCGCGAGATATTCAGGTATTTTTGTACTGCTAAGGTCAAGTACAGAATGTCATTTGTAATCGTTATATTTTTCTATTTTTTCTTCTCGTTAAGAACTTCATAATGTAAAAAGTACAACGAATATCCCTTTAATCTTTAATCCCTTTTATATTAAAGATTCTTTTGTATTGCCTAATTCAATTTATATTTTATCTTAAAATTGCAATGGAACTTGGCTCTTTTATTGCAATTTGGAAGGAAAATCATAATGGCTAAAATAAAAGTGGTTCCTAAACTTATAAATAATCGAATACATTAACAATATTACTCTCATCGATGAAATTAGATTAATTTATTAAAGATTGGTTACGTTGTCCCAATAGTAATAAAATATTTTGAGACTTCGATGTACACCGAGTATCCTTTATCTAGCACACTGCGAATTCTTGTTCTATTACGTTACTGACCTTGCCGGTGAAGCACGTCGCACGTAATATGTATAAATAACAAGTGTACTTCCTTTCCTAGCCTTCGAGAACAATTGAATGAAATTCTTCTTAACCCCCCTCCATCTTCCCTTGCCTGTTTCCTAACATTGAAAGCTTAACAAAAATCAGTATAATTTCTTATACGAAACATTTCTCTTACATGAATCACTGCGGCGTAGAACAAATCATTCTACAATTAAAGGCGTGACTAATCACCAATCGCCTTGGAATGTTTCTTTTTTTATTGTATTGCTACAGACGCCTGTCTACAATTTCATTTCATTTATATTTGACATACGTAATAGTCAATATTAGAAAATAAAGGATACATTAACTGTTGCTTGAATATTCGAGGTAATCGAATATTTTCTTCATTTTTATTGACTTCTCAATTACAATTACATTAGAGATATTTGTAATATTCATTTCTCCGTACAAAAATGTTCATTAATTTGAAAATAAAGATTAAAAGGTACACCAGTTATTTTCCGATGTTCTATTTACATATTGCTCAAACGTTTAAAGGTAACCGAAAAAGTACAAATAATCTTTAAATTCGAAACATTGATCTGTTTTTACCAAAATCAGATTTTCCACAGATCGTTAACGATAATAAACAAGAAATCTCAAAGTTCCCACTTAGGGGTTCAAAATATAATAAAACAGAATAAACTATTCAGTTTAAATTTAATTCGATCGGTACAATGACCTCGCAAGATTATTTAGATCACCGAATAACAGTCCACTGCGTGTAATAACCGAAATGAAACGGGGTTTGAAACTCATATACGCGAATCGTGTGTCGCATTGTTGAGTTTCCGTGCCATTGCGTACATTCTCCGCTTGGTGGCTCCCACCAGTCCAGCAAATATTTGTGACGAGAGAGTTGTTAGGTAGCCTGCCTCAGTCGAGCAGGAGAACCACACCGAACCGGCGACCGGCACGGCAGAAGAACCCAACGCTGAACCCGTTATTCCGTTGCAAGAAAGGTAACTCTAGTTGCCACACCCTCGGTTAGTTTTGCTCCTCGTTACACCGATCAATACGAAAACTTTCGGGCTACGCCGTTTCCGATAGTTTCTTGGCACGCTTTCCGGCGCCGCGGTTGACCAGCCAAAGACCACCGCCATTTGGTTTCCGTGGCATTTCGCGTTAACCGATGAGATCATTGCTCGTTCGGCGAATCCCTAATGACGCGGAAGCTATTTTCAAGGCTTACAGCTTAAACTCATTAACTGGTCCACTGTCACGTTAATGTTTTCGCTTCGACAATCGTTAAGACCAATTGTATTCTAATGTATAATAAGCCGGTATGATTAGATCTTAACCTTAACTCTTAGCCAACCGGATAGGATCTTCCACAGTTCCCTTAGCAACACAGTGCCATTCGTTTTGGTTCTTTTCTTTTTATTTAGTAAGTTTTAAACTGGGGATATATGCAGTTGATTGAATACTTTCTTCGCTTTTATAAAATATATTTTTAATGAAATCCGTTGAATAAGTCGAAGGTAAGGAAAGATATTCTTGTTTTTTGTTGGAAAATTAAGGACATTATAGATATAAGTGCAAAGTTTTTAGTTAGAGAATTACGGACAGGGGTTTCATTAGGCTCAACTGTGAGATAATGTTTTTGATGATCTAAAGGGGAATTTATATTATGGTACCTATAGAATTCGATTTTCTTTCATCTTTGTAATGTTGCTTCAACATTTGAGGATTTTATCGAAAGTATGAGACGATTTTATTTTAAATCTTAATTTTTTTTTATTCTTTTTTCTGCTTGAAGATTGGACAAATTTTGGGTGTAAAATTTGATAAAAATTTTTAGAAAACTTTAAGTAGAAGAATTATGGATATTATTGATTTTATTGATTTTACATGTGAAAGATAAAGTTTTTGATGATCCGATTGAAAAATTATGTTTTAATATATATCTGGCGGATAATTTTAATATTTCCGATGACCTAAATAACTCTAGTTTTCGAATTACGACGAATGACCGCGTTTCTGGATCAGTCGGGTGCCCTTATGTAGGATCGTTGCGATATCGTGTTGGAATATTTGGTTCCCTGTTTATATATGTATGTTTACGTGTCAGATGCACTTTGCTTTGCTATTAAAATGTGTGTATCATCGAACGTCGAGTTTCATTAGAAATTTATAGTAATATTGACATTGAGACAATGTCCGTGCTACATAGATATATTTAAAAAAAAGGAGAAATATAAGAAATACAATAATAATATTATAATAAAATAAGCATAAAATATTTGTTCCGCTAATTCACTACTTATTAAATTACTAAATTAAATTACTAAACATAATTTTCAGATATAGAAATATTCTTGTCACAATTTTTTAAATAAAATATTTATTGGAATTATTTATTTAACATGTTTGTTATGTCATTTATAACTTATTATAAATAGGTACAATTTATTTTGAAATGTATAATTGCTACATAATTCCAACGGTAACGAAGATACTTTAAATGCTTCCTTTCTACGTGCATATTCATCGATTATGTCATGCTTTTATTATTTCGGGGCTGAAGTTTCGTGTGTATAATTCTTATCGTTAAATTGACGAAGTAAAATAGTATTTTCACTGTAATAAATTCGCGACTCTATGTATGTATTTATCTACAACGTCGCGTGACTCATATTCATGAGATCGAATGATTTAGGCGTGAAGGAGATTATACCGTCATGGACAGACATGAGAAACGTTATTGCATACGCGAATATTAGACTGTTGTTCTTCTTAATTGAATAATGTTTTGGAAGATATATGGCTCTTTGTTAATATAATTCATCTCTTCTCATTTTTAATGCGAACAGTTGAAGTTAATAAAAAAATTACAAATCACAATTTATGAAAACGGATCTTAGATTACATAATTGATCATTTCTTTTTGTATTAACAGTGAGTAAATAATATAATTTTTTGTTGGCATCTTTCCAAAGTCAAATGTAAAATTAATTTTATTTAATTTACGACGACTTTGAGATTATACATTATTTTTGATTTCATCCTGAAAATATTTGCAATTAAATAATTTTAAATAACACCACTTAAATATAATTTTAAAACTTCTTGTTTTGTAGTTATGTCTTCTTCCGAGAATTCAATAGAGTATATAGTAAGTAAAACCATCTGTCAGGCGTGAAAATAGACGAGAATAGTTTAGTTGCTACGAAATTATGTAACCTTGTATATGTTTTTTGTGGGAGATGCATAAATGCATGCACACGTGGAGAATTTGTAATTTGCAACTTCACAGTGCCCCAGTCTATTGTCTGTATTCTTTTTCAATGTTGGAAAATAAAAAAAAATATAAACATCAAATACCTAATCACTCGTTACATTTACTTCTTACAGATAATCTGTACAATGTCGGCCAGTCAGTACTACCACGTGCAGGTAATTATCAAGCCTTCTATGTTTCATGCCAATCACTATCGCACCTGAAAAATACTTGACGTTTTTTTCTCAAGATATTTTTAATTAAAAAACAGTTTCACTATTGAATATTAAATAACATCACAAGCTATACACAATTCGTGTTCTTTATATTAACAACAGACCTTACCGCCTGTAATAATATTTACATAATTTACTACTTCAAATTTACCACAAATAAATAATCATTAATTCAATTAAAAACAGATATTAATATGTAATATATAACTTGAATTGAATTAACAATTTATTTAACTTCCTTTAATGAAGTTTAAAATTAAGAATGAAATTTCAAAAATCTCCTTCCGCAAAGGATTAAACTAAATCTAAAATTTATTGTTATAATATGTACTCAAATAATTGTTATTTAATACGATGCCTTTTCGTTGCTCAGTGCACACCAACCGTTTACCCCGCTGACCCCTTCGACCCGGAGGAAGATGCGACCCTTCTGCGAACGGCGATGAAGGGTTTCGGTACCGACGAGCAAGCCATCATCGACGTGCTCGCTCATCGCGGTATCGTGCAGCGACTCGAGATCGCAGATAAATTCAAAACGATGTATGGAAAAGATCTGATTTCTGAATTGAAGTCGGAACTCGGTGGCAACTTTGAAAAGGCTATCATAGCGTTGATGACACCTTTGCCGGAATATTACGCTAAAGAGTTGCACGACGCAATTTCCGGAATTGGCACTGACGAAGGAGCTCTGATCGAAGTGATGGCCTCCCTCAGCAATTATGGTATTAAGACCATATCTGCTGTCTATAAAGATCGTGAGTATTAATTTTGACTAATTGTGCAACTGTAAAATTGTAAATATTACGACTCCTTCAGTTAAGGAAGCTCGAAAGAATGGCGTTGATTGAATCGTTCATTGGTCGATGTGACTAGGTCTACATTTTAATGTGTAATTGAATTTTAATTTCTGTTCAGTTATCAATTTTAGTCTAATCTGAATATATAACTAAACAATCTAAAATATATGACTGAAGACACTGTATTTTTAATATTCCTTTTCGTTCAAAATAGAACTATTATATATTATATTTAATAATTTAAATATAATTATATGTCTTTCCAGAATTAGGTATAGAAGTATAATAAAAATTCGATTGTATATTTGCAGTGTACGACAAAGAATTGGAAGAGGACTTGAAAAGCGACACGTCCGGTTACTTTGCGAGGCTGATGGTTTCTCTTTGCTGTGTAAGTATTTATTAAAACAATTATTTATAATAAATAGGAAAACTCTCACTTTTTGTGATTGTATAAGCAATCATTAAATTGTTATACTCTAAAAAGATAATTCCCTAGAAAACAAGTAAAAGTGTAACTTAACTTAACATGTAAGTTGCAATGGATGGTAACAATTTTCTTTTGTGAAAGAACTTATAACTAAAGATACTGAATCAGTGATCTGATAATCAACAAAAATAGATCAAAAGAATATGATATATAACGATTAATCGAATTAAAAAAATATGTTAAAAGGCCAGCAGAAATGAGAATCCAGAGGTTGATGCAGAGGCGGCGACACAAGATGCTCAAAGACTTATAGATGCTGGCGAGGGCCAGTGGGGAACAGACGAAAGTACATTTAATGCTATTCTTATTACCAAGAGTTTCCCTCAGCTGCGAAAGATTTTCAGTGAATACGAACGACTTTCCGGAAACAGTATAGAAGACGCCATTAAACAGGAATTCTCAGGATCCATTGAAGATGGCTACCTCGCAGTCGGTAAGGGAGGATATAAATTATGTTCTTCATATTTTTGCAATCTATCTTTGTGCAAATATTACAATCAGTCAACTTTTTAGTTTTTATTGTAGTTTTACTTTTAACATAAATAAAATATTGCTACCCAAGTACAATTAAGAAATAAATCATAACGCAAAGAATTAATGATATATTTGTCGTTGTTGCGCTAACTATGGAGTTGTGCAATAAAATATGCATATGTATTGCGATGGGTTAGCATTAATGGAAAAATTATGTCAAAGTGCATTTTATTTTACTATGTTCCAGTGAGGTGTGCTCGTGATAAGACTGCATATTTCGCGCAGCGACTCTACAAAGCGATGAAAGGAATGGGCACCGATGATACCACACTAATACGTATAATCGTGGCCCGATCGGAAATCGATTTAGGTGATATCAAAGAGACTTACCAAAACATGTATGGCCAGTCACTAGCCGGCGACATTGACGTAAGTTGAAACTAATGTTATGTACATAGACCTGCTGTCGAACCTTTTAGAATGATTCTGCAAAATATTCTTTTCTGCGCAATAAATTCATGCCTTAATTACCTATTACAATCCATCGAGCAATATAGAATCGCATAAATTAGTTATATAACTACACAGAGATTCATTAACTGTTGCAAAATACGGTACAAAGCAGTCAGTATACTTTTAAGAAATTACTAACAAAGATTAACCAATCGTGATTCTTTATCGGTCCATTTTACACGGGTTAAAAATTACAAAAAGACCAATTGTTTTAAAACAAACTACTATTAAAACAATTTCCTTTAATTGTTTTAAAATGAAATATAAATTTGTAGTGGTGCTGTTCTTAATAGGAAATGTACTTCAATAGTACCAGTTACTTTAAAAAATATTATTTATCAATTTTAAAATTATACAAATTCGTTTTTCCAATCACTTTCGATATTTTCGACAAATTGATTGCTTTCACAGTTAAATCTACATGTACAAAATTTTAAAAATTCAACAACGAAATTCACATGATTTAAAATTCGGAAAAGTATTCTCGAGTTTGCAATAATACATCTTGCAGGACCATTCGTTGAGGTTACGACCAATGTCCATCTTAATGGTTGCACATTACAAACGTCGTAATTCTAGTGCCCGCACAATTTGTTTTTCTTAACTTTTTTACTTGGCAATACATAAAATTCGGTTGTCCATGACTTTCCATGAATTTCAGGACGACTGCTCGGGAGACTACAAGAGACTCTTGCTTACCCTACTTGGATGAAAGCATTTCATGTTCGACAGCCTCTTTTGTTTTACATCACACACTTTAGTGTATCTATTTATCCTTTGCGGCAGTTCGCGGAGCTTTTTGCCAGACGCTTTTGTCGGTTGTTCGTTATTTGAAGTTAATTCGATTGATTAACGGTGATTATGGTGTTGCGTGGTTGCCTTTTATTCTCCCCTGCCCACCCCCCACACATTTTATATGCCTGTTACAGCGACTCTACCGCGGATAATACGCTTCACTTACACGAGATACAAAAGTACGATTATTTTAGTCTCTGTGAGACCGGCCGAATAAATTGTATTAATAATTTCCTTGTTGTTATTAAACACCATTTGTTGACACTTATTACTTAATTAATAACAACCGTTAATAATGATCGTTCACGAGTCATCGCTCAACTAATTCTACTAATTAATCCGATCTGCTGCACGCAAGACTATGTACGATCCGATCAACATCGAAAGAGAACGATTATTAAGAATTGTTTGATCTTGCCTTATCGCACAACGTGCAAAATATACTTTTGTATTAATGAAATAGTATATAACAGTGTTTATAATAATATTGAAATAATATTACATACTAGAATGTAATAAATAATAATTAAATTTTTAATTACGAATATGGTAATGTTACAACAATACAATAGTAAATATTTTTGAAAAACCATCAAACGAACGGAGTAATCGTTTCGCGTGCAGTTGCGTCGGGAAACGTCGCGATTCCACGAGAATCGATTTACAGAACTGCGTGCATGTAATCTAAACATATTTCCGGCACAAATACAGTATTACACCATTTTGTACAGCATTAATATCCGCTTTAATTCTTCCTACATTCTGTTTGCATTTACAGAGTGACTGCAGCGATGAATTTAAGCGGCTTCTGATCGCACTTTTGAATTAATGAAAATCATGGAAGGGAATACGCGTATTACCTGTATACACATATATAATATATATATACGTATATATACACACACACACATATATATATTTATATATACGACATAAAATTCTTTGTAAGAATACCTAACACCATACGTGAATAATACGCATTCCACTGTTAACTGTACCATCGACATCTATCTTTTTTAATAAAAGGAGAACAACAATTTTCACGTTCGTTAAACGCGGACAAATTTCATTTTATCATGAAAGTCGTATGTCTGTGCGCAGGGCTGCACCAAATAGAGAGTGCAAAGGGTGCATCGCGCAACAAATAAGTATTTACAGTGTAGCTTTCACGTTAGTTCCATCGACTAACAAGCTGAAACTACATAAGGGCAAGGTGATTCTTCCACTTTCGATGCTCGGGACGTCTCGGCTTGCCACGCATGGTTATTACTGGCACGCGGCAATAACAAAGAACGGAAGCGACACCGAATACGACAGAATGAAATGGAGCTATAGAGAATTTTGTCTTTTATCAAAACGTCTTACTTCTTCATATTTGTTATTGCCGTGCCCCAATAATGACCATGCGTCGAAAGCTGAGGCAGTTCGAGTATCATGAGTGGAAGAATCCCTTTGCCCCTGTGCACTTTTAGCTTGGTTGTCGATGAAGCTAACGCGAGAGACGTATAACACCTTGGGCGCGGCCCTGTCTGCGTGTGTGTTTTAGTGTGCTGTGAATCGAGAACCACCTGTGTCTTCTCTTTTTTGCAGAGCGATTGTCACGCTGAATGGAAAAGACTTCTGATCGCGATGCTGAATTAAAGACAGTGGTTCAGGCTTTGTGCGATAAAAAAACCCGTCCGGATTTAATACTCAATCGCTTTATCGACGGCATTTATATTAATGCAGCGATGTCCTGTGGAGAACATCGAAAATTCAACCAAAGATCGAAATCGAATATTATGAATTAAAATGCACGAGATTAATATATGGAGTATCGAAAATTCGATCGAAGATTGAAATCGAATAATCTGAGTGTTAATGTTTCGAAATTTTAGGTGGCCAAAGAAAAAGGAGTAAAGTAACTTTGCTGCATTTATACGATGTATTTTAATTGTGGATTTATTTGTTCTTTTTTTATGAACTGAGACGCTGCTGATATACATTCCGTTTCTTCTTCCAAGACGCCGTTGATAGAATAGTGTGCATTTTATAAATATATTTTTTACAGATTTTTTTTATTATTCTCTATCTAGTATTTTATAGATATATTTTCGTAAATGGATTATACGATTCGAGTATATTTGACAGTGATTCTTCGTAAGATTTTAGAGTCTGATTCTGTATTTGAAAAAGGTTAGAAATATTGATGGTTAATATTATTTATATTCAATTCCATGTATCGATGTTTAACAGGCAGCTTAAAAGTTTAGGTGTTTTAAGCTATGAACTTGTATTTTAAAATAAATGTCTGCTTAAAGGAAATTATGAAATGAATATGTTTTACTTGACTCTTAAAACAATGAACAACAAAATTGTACATATTATATTGTACCTTTTAATATAACATAATATATTTGATATAACATTTAACATAACATAATATATTTAATATAATATTTAACGTACTATAAATACCATTAAACGATAAATGAAAAATTAAGATTAAACCCAGTAACAATTTCAGGGTACAAAAAAATCAATCGATGAATTTTAATTTTTCGCCGCATTTTATTTGGACAAACTTCGGGTTTCAAAAATAACCGCAAAATAGAAAAAATTCTGTTAAAAAATGTTAAATTTAAAATTATAATTTTTTGACACTCTACACGACAGATATAAATGTATATACATAACATTAATACAAATAAATTGTTAATGAATTCAAAGATATTTGAATAGAACGAAAATAAAATAATAAAATGGCTTCCGAGGAATATAAATTTTTTAATAAGCGTAAAACGTCATCAAACGTCGGAAAACAACAACTGGAGACGGATAATGCGATACAAGTCAGCAGATCGATTCTTCGAGGATTAAGATATGGTAACAATGCGTTTATTAATACGATTAATTAGGTTAAGTAGACAATAATGTAAGTTAATAATAAGTGCGGATAAAATATCCTTGATAAAAATTGTTTAATGAAACAAAATTAATCAAATAAAATCAAATGAATATTTTCTTAAAACTGAATTTCTTCGAGCTGGTAATTTGATAAACAGTTCGAATAAAATAAACAGTTGATCATGTGAAATAAATCTTTTGAAGAATTAACTATTAATTAATTATTCATCTAGTATATATGAATAATTACCATAAATTATAAATGCACTATAATAATCTATATGAATTCGTCATTTGCTTACCAAACGTAACAGAAATGTTGAAAAAAGTATTCCACATGAAAATTACATTTTTTAATTATAGTAACGAACGAAAAAAATGAAACGAACCAGGAAATGGAACATGAAATAGACTACGAGGATGAGTGGATTAATAAATTAGCTGTAATCGACGACGAACACTCGAGAAAGAATGGTTTAAATGAACGTAACATAGAGAAACTTCTTCAAAGTCTTACTAGTAAATACGCACACATGAAACCCGAACGATATTGTTCTTCTCAGGCAGATAGAGTAAGGAATTTATTTCTTTTAAATAAATTAATTAAATAAAAGGATATTCTCTTTAAATAAAGATTTTATTGCACAATTTTAAGAATGAACACTGCTTTTTCATATTTATTTTTTTATAAGGATTCTTTATGTTTCTATTATGATTCTATTTATGTTTAAGAATTCAAATCGTTTATAATAATTTAATATATGATTAATTTCCTCAGTTCCCAGTAGTGAATAGAATTCAATCCTTTTACTATTTGTTATTTTCCATTTTAAATAATAGATGTTTATATAACAATTTTTTTATTAGATCATTCAAGATTCTAAACAATCCATAGTAAAATATTATTATACTTCAAGTCACGAATTATTTAAAAAGAAGTTTTACGAATGCAATAAATGAAATTTATTAATTAAAGGTAACTAATTGCTTGCAAAATAAAAAATCCGACGGTGTTAGTTGCGCAAACGACGTTGAAAGATACAAAACGTGCGTCGACGAATCATTGCGCGATGTTGTTCGCAAAGATGGCAAATACGAGCGCAAGAAACGTCGGAAAAAAGAAAGTTTTACGGAAGCATTCGAACGGAAATACCAAATTTCGTTTATAACAGAATCGAAGGAATAAATATATCTGTATATGTTAATTATCACTGATCAAATAATTTGCACGAAATATGAAAGTAATACATTTTATATATATTTATTCATCTTTATTTCATTCAAATGAATTACTGAACAAATATTACGCTACTAGATTCTTCGTTTGACTACTCATCTCCCAAGAATAAAATTATTGTGCTTTCCCGAGTTTCCTAGCATCTTCGAGTGTCTTTTCAACAATAGTGTTCCAGGTATCCTGATCGTTCTCTGCGTACCACGATACAATTTTATCATAGAATTGCACCTGCTTCGCAGTGCACTTTTTGCAGTTCGTCGTGAAGATATCAACAAACTTGTCTGTAACAATATGAAAAAGAACATTCAGAAAATATATTTATCTGAAGGAAGTCAATTAAACGCAAACTAGTGAAATATAATTGTGAAATATAATCAATATTTCTGTTTTATTTGAAATAGAGAATAGTTTAAAAGAATGTTTTAAAAAGTATCCTAAAATCGACTCATAACTCCATGTTAGCACACTGTCGGCTATAATTGTACCCTTAAAAATTACATTCATTGCATCCTCTGTTACGCGCAAGGAAAATTATTATTATAATTATATAAACTGACACTACGCTAATTATCTCACATTATCTTTTTCAACTGTGTAAGTAAGTACTTAATTATTAACTGGAGGGTGTTCAACGCGTTGTTGATATTATGATGATATTAATATATTTGACGTATGATATACTCTATTATCGTTTTAACTACATCAAAACATCATATATATATGACATTTATACAAAATACTTTGTTTAGTTTATTTCCTATATTTTATATGTGTAAGTAAAAGGTATATAAACAACTTATTATGTTAAACAATTGAACGAACGACACAACCACAACGAGAGTACAGTGAACGTTAGGTAATTACAACATTTAACGGGACCGAAAGGTTGCAATTATGAAGAGGTAGAATCAAATCCACCCTAAGAAACGAAAATTTTAGCATGGCGGACGCAGAAAGAGACAATGCAAGTGAAGGGAAACGAAAAACAGTGAATTGTAGCGTTCGGCAACATTAAAGGCTCGTGACGAGCTTGGGACTTTTCAACTCAAAAATCAAGCTTTTTTATTTTGATCGCGTTTGTTATGTTCTTCTGCTTAAACTGACACCAAACACGATAGAATTACGATTATAATTCTTTGCAGAATAAGCAATTGAAGTTTCAGATATAGAAAAGAACTGCGAATAGAAAAGAAGTCGCGAATATAATAATTATAAATAAATTTACCTTTGAAATACACGGCATCCGGTGTGACGCAAGGTCCTTTGTCCAAATAGCAGTTTTCATACTGCTTCCTAAGTTTACTATTTGTTAGAATTTCATCAACGTTAATATCGTCGTACTTCGAAGTATACGTTTCTGTGTCTTCATCCTCGTCGGCATAGGTTACCGCCAAGATGACCGACAGAACGGAAACAAAAAGCATCAAACTCTTCGAATTCATTTTGTAGTTTGAACTGAGGAAATAAAGTGGAAAAAATGAACTGCAATTTATAGAAATGACTGTTTAACGCGTTCACGCCGGCGTGCACCACCGGTGGTACACAGTTAATTTGTAACATTAAAGTAAATCAGTGTTAATAAGTAAATTATTTATTTACATTTACACTCAATAATCAGCTAAAGTCAGAAAACTAGACACGTAACAAAAGACTGCACTTCATTTTTACAAACATTGTTATTACTCTACAGTCTATGATTAAATATATAGAAACATTTCCCGACGTGAATGTGTTAATACAGATGAACTATCGATATGATTAACATTCCTTCCCATTCCTTAACACATTCCTTTGTAGCAAAAATAAGAGGGAAGAATTATTAATTATTTCTTATCACAATTTTTACTATTATCCAGTTATTTACGCTACCGAACATTTTTATTCAAGATCAGATATCTCTCGAATTATAATTGTATTCTAGTAATTATGAAGCTCCGGTTAAACAGTCAACGTGTTAAAATTATTTGGACAAACAAATTATTTGAAATTTCTGTTTCGATTAGCACTTGGAATTTTATAGTATTGCGTTTGATGTTTCAATCGAATAATGACACAGAGAAGAGAGTTTACCGGAAAGACGATGAAGAAACACGTTGCACCGATTCAATTGCAATTCTAACTATGACGAGACCGCGGAAAATCTACATATTTATAACTGGCACGCTTGTAATTATCGGATCACACTAAATAATTCCATGAAATGGCATTATATGCAATTTGTCAGTTAAAGGCGTGATTTGTACATTGACTATATTAATCAAACGGTTATTTGTAAAAGCGATAATTCATAGTTTTCTGTTTTCCACCCGTTTTACACACATGTTATTACGTTGGATTGAAATGGTTTTCGAATTTATCAATATTATTTTACAGCGATACACATACAGTAAGTATACGTTACATTACATTTAATATATTCTTTTTCAATTTTAAATGGAGTGCAATTATTGCGTTCAAAATTTTCGAGCTTAGGTGTATTCAAAGAGATTAACGAATTTTGTATAAAAATTTTGTAATTAGACACAGTTAAATAGAATGATTATTTCACTATATTATTATAAATAAAATTCTTTACTTTGTTAATGTCAGAATAATGAATTAAGGCCATAAATTGAGTAATTGAATAATTTGTGTCTAACTTATAGTTCCATTAAACGTCAAATATCATTTAATTAATAAAATACTAGCTACTGATAAATATAAAATAGTAAATAGTGGTATCTACTATATATTAAATAGTAAATTTATAAAATTCACAAATTTTGTATTGCTAAAGCATTACCAAGCATTACCAAAGTTACCATTTATGAAAAACGTTAGATAAACCAAGAAGCCAATATACTTGTATTTTCACGCGGTTTATCAATTCATAGAAGTATTGCTCTCGCGCAACAATATTATTAATACACTGCGTACCAGCTAATTTTCAGAAAACCAAATTGTGCGGATAGCAATTTTTAATGAGATTAACGTATACCAATATACATAGAAAAACTCAAATATCATATCGTAATGTAATATACTTTAAATAGATGATCAGTTTTGATCATAATTGACATGTTCATAAATGCTGTGGTAATTGGCGAATTTATATAACTAGTTACGTTTACATAAAAACAAGATTTCTTGTTACCAGTATTCAGTGTATTTCGAACAAAAAACTAATGAGATGAGAGAATAGTACAGCGTGTTATTTCTTACGTCAGAATACATAACTGTTAATTATATAAAATGGTACAAAAAGGTTTTCATAATAAATAGATTTATCACGCATGATACTATTGTGTAAACTGTCTACATAATAGTATTAGAGACTAGTAGTTCTAGTAGCGTTCATGCAGAATAGCTTTTAATTCTTTGTAAACCAAAATATATTTTAATTGTTTATCCAATGATATCAATACAAACATATATAGTTGGTCATAAAAAGCACTATAATTTTTCTGAAATAGAATTATTCTATAGAGTTTGGAGTAAATAAAATGAACAAAGAAAATAAGAAATTAAAAAAAGAAGATTTTAATTAAAAAACACTTACCTATTCTTCTTATAGTATCTGATATTCTTCTCCTTACCTTTTTTGTTAATTAAATAATTTGTATATTAGATATTGTTGTTTCCTTTAAGAACAATATAGTTTCCTATATTTTCTATTAAATAACGTGTATCTCTAGATACACAAAATCTCATTTTAACCAAACAAGTCATCGAAATGATTGAAATTAACATTACATAAGTTTCCTTTTTTCTTGTTGTAACATCAAGTTTATTAAACGCAAAAAGAAAGTAATAGCGATAACAAGTAATCTACTTTTAAGAAGTGTGGAAGAAAATCAGTGCAGAAATAAATAAATTTCAATGATTCTTGAAAGGATCGATTTATTCATGGCACGAATATTTAGAAAGAAAATATCGCCATTGTAATTGTGATAGTCGCATTTCTACATTTATACTTACAGCTAAACAAACAATCGATCAGCTTCAATCATAGACATTTGATCCAAGTAAATTACAAAACTCTACTCATTTAACACTTAGCCAACCGAACAGGGAGATCTCTCAGTTTTCCCTTATCAACGCATTGTCATTTATTTTCTTTATAGTTTTGCAATTCAATAAATACCTTTCTTGCTTTTGTGAAACATAATTTTTAATCAAATCTATCGAATGAGTATAATGAAAGTTAATGAAATGTGTTGCAGTTATAGCTTTCTTTAGGCAGTTGCCTAAGTGTTAATCTGTATCGAGCAGAATTAACGGTCAATAAATTCACAATCTCCATCGCAGAGAACGAGAATTTATTATGCGACCTATCAAACAATTCTCAACGAAATCGATCACTTAACAATTAACATTAATTAATCAATCGAAACAGAAACATCCCTCTTTCCTTCGAAATAATCCAACTAAAATCGAACACTTCAAACCATTTAAATTTATACAGTTATGATCATTCGCATGATATCTCTATTAACAATCTATATAATCATCATAATTATGATAACGTCTTATTAACAAGAACCCATAACACATAACCGCGAATTACAAATTCGTGGATTACGATTTATGTTACAATTTGTTTCACTTTATTATATATTTATATGTATATACTACAATATGTTCAACAACAAATTGTATGTATGCATATACGAATGCATATATTTTATGTACAAAGTACAGCGTTCTTATATTGTAATCGAATATATGTATCTCGCTATATTCCTTACGTAACGCAGTGGTTCAGAGAAAAATCTGTAGCACAAACATGTTTCCATTTTCTCTCTCTCTCTCTCTCTCTCTCTCTCTCTCTCTCTCTCTCTCTCTCTCTCTTTCTCTTTCTCTCTCGAACATGTGTAAACTATAGGAATGATCACGTTTTGTATAAATCGTCGTGGTTCCAACTCTCGCGTGAAATTGACTGGGTTTCACTCAACAGCTAGTGAATAACATCTTTTTGTCCCTTCACCCTTCACTATGATGCAAATCAACGGTTTCAATTGAACTCGTGAATTCCAAAACGGCACAGATCCCACTTTCCAACACGTTGAACGCCGCAATGTTGGCACTAGATTTACGGAACGCGTGAATTTGACACATATGAAAATTTATAAATAGTATTCAGTAAAAGTTCAAGTCGATTTCCATTGATGCAACTATGCAAATGTTTTCGAGGCTCTAATTTCCGACGTCTATATGAATGACCGCCTATTTTTCTTAGGAGCAATACAGTGAAGTGAACAGTAACCGTAAATCTAGTGTTAAACAAAATTTCGATCCCCGGCCATCTTCTTTTTATTTTGTAATTTGCGGGGAGTAACAAAATATTCATATATTATGATTTTGTAGCTATTTCATGCAACTAAGTAGATTTCTTATGTAAATTTAGTATGTACATAAAAATTTCTTCTCAGGCCATATGATACACACGTTAACGTTATTACAGATATATTTAATATTATTAAAAATGAAGTAACGAAGATATAAGTGTAGACAATGTTTGCAATAACAATAAAAAAAACAAGTATAGGATAGATGAACGAAGATGAAAAGAAAAATTGATTTTCTCAAAATGTTGATTGGTTGACTTGTGCTGTTTTGGAATCGCATGGCTTGAATTGTGTTCATCGTGCCAGTATCAAACAACTTTTACATGAAACGTACGTATATACAAAAATTGTTGATGTTCACTTAAATATTCTATATGCGGAGAGAGTATCATTTCACATGACGAAATTCATTTATCTTACTGCATTAATTAATACCTTGCATAAATATGTACATACGTGGTAAGCTTTCTTAATTAAATGTCAGTGAAATTTATTTCCTCCCCTGACTCGTTTTATCGTTAACTGTATAACGGAATGTCACGAACAAAAAATTCTTTCGTTAACCCTTTGCCATACAATTTTCATTAGAAAATTTGTCTAATTTTACTATCAATAATTCGCGAGTAAAAACAATTTTTTATTCACTGTAAATCCAAGTTTATTTCGGAAATGGAAAGATTGACAACAATTATCTTTTTAACGAAACATATTAATGAATAATCAATAACATTAACATTCGATTGTTCAAAAAATCTTCGCGAGTTATAGTAATAACAGCCGTTATTATACGTCAAAGGGTTAAGTAGGGTGGTGTAAAATTAATACGTCGTCTATGCAATCGGTTCTACAGATATACATTCGAACGACAAATAATTTTTCTCGAAAATATATTCCACGAGGATGCACCAACGTTTTTTTCCTGCTTGCAAAATAATTACATTGCTCTTCACGTTTAACAGGATCGGTTGTTGAAGTATTAACAATTCACGGACAGACCGCGACGTGACACGGAAATATTTATTGGACTGAATATTTTTCAGCGAACATGGACTTTTGTATAATTCATTTACAGACACTCGGATTGAACAGAATTTTCTTTTTTATCGAATGTTACAACTAAACAAAAGATCTTAATTAGAATAGGATTACGATGGGAAATAGTTTTTATTAACAAGTAGTATAAAAAACAAATTTGAATATTTTAATTATTTTCTCGTATTATGTGTATTTTATGCAATTTGCTCTTTCAAGAAGTTAATGCAACACCTGCTCGGAATTGGTTAAATATTATGTTGTGACATACGAGTTGCAGCAGTAATAATAAATAAATTTATACACAGGATGTCTCGTGCGTTATTCTCCATTATTTCTTGTCAGCCATGTTTGATTTCAACTACATATATTAGAATAAACAGTGAGTTTCCATGGAAAATGAATCTTAACCCCTTGCTTCATAAATTGTTTCTAATCAATCTATTAACAATTTTTCAACAGTAAAAAACACAACGTTTTCCTTGCAGGAATAATCTTACAATATGATAAGTAAATGAACACTATTATAAAGAATAAATAATTTATTAATTAATAAACATAAGTATTATTCATTATTATAAACATTGTTAACAAATGAGTAATTAATTAATAAACAATTTATTGATTACTAATAAAATTAATTATAATAAAACTTGCATAAATATCAATTAATTGCAAAGTCTTGGTTAAGTGACTAACTTTATAATTACAGATTTAGTAGCATTAAGTAATACTAAAGAAATGTTTTAAATAAATATTATTTATATTCAAAAAATCAAATGCTTTTCGCATGATAGGCCCGACGGAATTGTCCGAAGCAAAACAACTTCGCCGTTGTCAAGGATAATTAATAAGAAAATATTCTTCGCTACGTTTTATGCAGGACATCCTGTAGTTGCCATCACTTAAAAGTATTCAGATACAATTTTACATCAATAGTAGTGCACAATTATACTGATTTGTTTGCATTTAGGATCAGTTAACTTCACATATGAATGTTTCGAGCACGGAAGTGTTATAGAAATATTTCATGAGGTATATTTCGAAATTCGTCAAAATACATTTTGAAGCTGATCAAAACATGTCTTCAAGTTTCTATACGGATTTATATTCATTTAATAGAAAACAAACTATTAAGGTACCAGAAAAAGTTCGTTTTCTTGTTAGCAATGAATTGACATTCAATTTCAATTAATATTTTACTAGTTCAACCCCATGACCTACGATACCGTGTTCAAGTCGTAATGACAATTTTATACAGAATTTGAAAAATGTAAATGTTATTTGTTTCTTTTAAATACAAATTAAATATTACCTTTCTAATAATTTATTAACGATTTGGAAATAATTTATTATTTATTTAAACTAAACGTAGACATAGAATAAGCATTAAATGTCGTTTTTTTCTTAATAAATCTTCATGATAATAAATAAGTAAGAAATAAATCATAGAGCAAGGGGTTAATGAATGAAATTAGTATTAACAGCAAGTTATGTTTATACTGTTGGTATTGAATAAGATAAAATAATTTTTCAACAACCTACTCTGTGTTTAAATTTTGATTTAGGAACCCTCACGAACTTTTTTTGGATACTTAATAAAAGAACATTTCGGAAATAAAATTATTACTTGGAAGATGCTTCTTCATTCCTTTATTTACACGTGGGTAACTGTTATTTACTTGTATTTCATTGTTTAAGTTTTAACGTCTTACTCCATTATTAACGATGAACAATCCGCAAATGTTCAACTGAAAGTGCTTCAAACCGCTGCACTTAAAACGCTAACTTACACTCACAACATAAATTTTGAAAATTTCATAACAATAATAGCCATTCATCTATGCGTGTATAACTGTCATGGCGAAAGTAATTTCAATTCATTTAAAAAAAAAACATTTTATATTATCAAGGTTAAATCACTGCCTTTTGAGGAATTCAGCGTTCATTTCGAAATTACGTGCTCCCTTAATAATATGTATGTTTCCCCAGTTACATATGTAACTTCCCGATATTTTATAACTGAGCAAATTATCTAGTACTTCGTGCTTATTAAGTATTTTATAATTGTTTCTTACATACTTATTAAGAGAATTATTTAACAATGATATTTTTATATAATTATAAAAACTACACGATCAAAATTTTTAATGAAGACGAAAGAAGAAAATGTTGTACTCTAGGTGTCTAACAACTGAGCCAAACTACAGCTTTGTCGAGGACTGAATTAACTATAGAAAATAAAAAAAATTAAATTAATATGATTTAAACAGTGAAAATTTCAATTAGCTGAAAAATTCAATTTTAAAAAATCAACAAGAGCAACCATTTGGAGACCAGTGTCATTCAACTACCTTCAACAATTTTCATCATTTACGTTCATTCATTTTTTAACCTATCACTTTATCGTGAAATTCTTTACACAACTGTATCGATACAGTCGCATCTTTGATTGTTTGTTGAACTTATTCGCCATTTTCTTCTCAATTAGTGATTGGCTCAGATTGATCGTAATTTTCGAAAGAAAAAGTTCAAATCAGTGATATGACACAGTGTTTAGGCTAGGAGATGATTTGACATCTAGCAAAATAAAACAGCTTTTTCTAGTATTGTTTTATAGTTTTCGTTGGTTACGTGTAACTGTATCAGCGAATAGCAAACTAAAGATCGAAAATGTAATCATGATCGAAATAAAGCCAACAGACTGAGAAAAATGAATCAGTCACATTCTTCAACCTAGCCATCAAGTGATCTCCTAGCAGTAAATTAATAATCGAAGGTATCAAAAATGATGAATTATTGAATTGATGCAAAAGTTTTCACATTTTTTCGTAAGAAATAACTAAGTAAAACACTAAGTGAAAATGAAGGAAGAAGTGTCCTTTACACGCATTGCAACAGTTTAAAAACAATTATTTATTTCGAAGAAAAAAATTTGTTTGTTCGCCACGTACAACAAACACCAAAATTATTATATCAACCCAATAAAACCAATAGAAAATTGATTAAGAAAAACGAAAACTGATCGATCAGCCGAATCCGTCAGCCTAGCCTAGAATTCCTCATCTAATAGTACAGCGTAACATATACAACCAGGGAAGGGTGCGTCAAACAGTACACCTCTACGGTATCGGGATTTACATAATGAAATTGTACATGTAAATTAGTATTATATTCTATCCGAAGACTCACTGGAGTCTTGACTTTTTATATAACATCGTCATCGTTCGGCTTGCACAACCAACTACTTACTTACACGATAGATCGTGTACTAACATCTTTGTTTTTCTTTTTCTCTTAGCAGGAGTCCATCGTTTGAATTAGATCAAAACAATGCTGGTCCTGACGAAAAGACACAAATAATTCTTCATAGATTGTGCATTAATTTCACATCATCCTAATAGAGACTAAACAACTCCATCCAGAAGACAATGTTCACAGAATAGAAGGTGATATCGGAAATGAGGATAATTAATTATATACTATACAAACGAATGATTCACCTCGGGACCATTCTATCCGCCTGACATCTTTCAGAATGTAAAATAAAATTTGAGTATATGTGTATCAATCGAGTGAAACGCTTCGTATACAACGTTAAGCCTTTATCGTTCCCGGAACCATTCGAAACTTTTCGCTGCGAGTACATATACAGAGTGGCCCAAAATTATTAGCTAAGGACAGGAGAAGAGAAGATAATTGAGAGACACCATTTTTGAAGGACTTACTTAACACTTTGCTGACCGGTCACAAGTTGACACATGACTGTAACGGTGGTTACCGATAATTATGTAAGATAATTGATGTCGAATAAAACTGTTCAGTAACGTAAATAACTACAGTCCCTGATCTAAAATTAGAACCACTATTGATAAGATCAAAAACAAATGTTTCTTACTTACCTGATACTTCTGTCTGGTAATTTCCCTGTTAATTTTTTATAATTCAGGCTTAATTACTTTGTTTAACTCTCGGTTTCAATGTGACCAATGAAAAACTTATTATCAAATTGTTCTTTGGATTTACAATACTATAGATACCGAAGAAAATGATGAAAAATGGTAAAACGTACGGGTGATCCTAATTTCTTGATAGGGACTGTAGATAATAGTGTAACGTAAGAATTGTGATACCAAGTAATTAATAATTCTTTCTTTTTACTTTTGCTATAGAAAGAACAAGTGATACATAAAACGTATTTCTACGACTCGAACCGTTCACAAATTAAGTTACGTTTGCACTTTATTGATTCTTATCTGAAGGTAATATGTATAGGTCTTTATAAGAACGTTCTAGATCGTATTAGTTAGATTAAATTGCTTTAATCGCTTCAAAGAGATTTTAATCGATTCAACAGAATCAAAACTTTAAAGGAATAATTTTCGAGTTAAATTACTGGTCGGTAAAGTGTTAAGACCTTGTCTTGTAGAGCTTAATCGCAAAGGTAATCGTACGGCAAAGGGTTAAGAAACGCTAATTTTAAAGAATTTAATTAACATTATAACTACCGAACAATTAGGGTGACTTATTTCCAATTTTTTATAAAAATTATAAAAAATTATGAATTCTAGTCCTGCATCTATATAAATGCACAAGTTTAATTAGAAATCTTTCGTAAAAACGTCTTCATAAATTAAATATTTGCAAAATAAAAATTCTGAAGTAGATCAATTTGACCCGTCCGGTAGTTTTTGTGTTAAGACACCGAGAACCCTTTCATGTGCCATTCGTTTTCGCCGAAATGTTAGCCTATTCTTCGCCAAATAATTTTGGGACACTTACGCGAGACATGTGGCGATTGGTAATCGAATATTCGAATTTTCGAATTTCCGAAGACGTTCTTGGTATAAGAAATATTATCACGCAAAGTTGAAGTACGTTGAAAGAATTTTTAAGCATATACGTTCTTTTTTTTTAGTTTTGTATTGATCCGAAAGTATCGATACGATTCATGATACAAAGATTTAATTCGTTGTTCAACAAAATATTTCCAGTGAAAATTTGAAAATATATTTGAAGACAAATAATCGATAGAATAATATTATTAATTATGTTTTAAAGACAAACGAATAATACATTTTATTTAGATACAAATAGAATAATCTCGCAAAAAATAATAGAGATTATACAATTCTTCGAATTGATTAAGGGTTCAACGACCCTGATTGTACGAGTGTAATTGGTGTCTTAGTTACAATTGGTTTGATATTTAATATAACAGTTATAGATCTCGAGAAGATAAACGTGGAATTAATGAAACACACGACAGAAATATCTCCTGATAAGATTGTTTGAGCGTGACAACATCTACTCACGCATTCGCATTGTCGTTTCATTGCAAGAAGGTAAAAGTACATTGCTGAAACAGCAAAGAAAAATGTCAGCACGTGATATTCTACATTTAGAAATATTTTTTGTTCAACGAGAAGCTAATTTATTAATATGAAAGCAACCGTCGAAAACGACTTTAATTACAGAATTTATATAGAATATTTCATACAGTGATTCAAATAAAATTACCAATTCATGGATAATGATCCGATCTATGTATAATGAAAAAGTATGAAAACAGACATTTTCTTTTGCAACTTTCTCAGGCTAAGCAATTATTCTTTGCAACAGTTCGTTAATCATACTCTTAAACCTACTCTTAATAACACTGTATCATTTAATCCTTTACGGACGAATGACGTCATTTGGCGTCGTCAAGTTTTCGTATTCAGAATACAAAGTTACAAAAAGTTATTGAATTGTTCAAATAACATAGTAGTAATAATTATAGTGGATAATTTTTTTTCGCTGGAATTTCAGAGCTGGATGTGTAATACAATTTAACTTCCTCTGTGAAAGATTTTGTATACTTCAAAAAATCCTCGTCCGCAAAGGGTTAATCTGTTAACCAGATGATTTTTCGAAATCTTCGAACGAATTGGAGAAGAAAATTTATATTGGAAGACACGATTGGAAACGAATAACGAGTCAAGTACTTCAACTTCGTCAAATAATATTCTTCGATACCAATTTCAATTCTGACGGCATTCTCTCGGCGCACCGTACGTGCTCGACCCTGTATACATATAGAAACATACGCATACCGATTTCTGTATATTTTCATGCACGAACAAAACGGAACGGTTATCGTTAAATATTAGTTTCCAATATAATAGTATTATTTATATCATCGAGAATATTCAAGAGTGCTTGAAGGAGAAACTTATATGCTTCGAGGCTCCTTCGCATCGCACTTTGTCTTCATCTGATTGCGGTGAACATGGTGGATTCGTGCGTACACATCAATTTCACCCAATTTCATTCCTTCTCTCGCTGAATTCTCGGTTTATTCAGCATTCGTGTTTAAACTAGACTAATTAACATTTACTTCATTTCATCGTTCAAACATCCTCGTTAGTTCGAATGGGCCAGTCAATAATCCATTGAAAAAATACTATGAAAAAACTAAACTTCTACAACTGGACAATATACACAAACACAATCCTACAAAATGCATGGAAAAAAGAAAATTGTATTTGGTTACAAAAATTGTCGAAGTTGACGAGCTTGATTGCAGTCAATCCTTGGAGTTCATGAATCGTCCATAAATAATAAATACTAACGTTTCCTGGACAACGTAAAATATTCTTGCGAGAAACGTCTTATTGGACTGTAAATCTTGCCAAGCCTAAAAATATCATAAAACGTTTCCTGACTTCGATTCGAGAGGCGAGACGATTTTATGACACGTTCTCCAACGAGAGGACACCGTTAGACAGCTCATAGCAGGTGCAAGCAAAAATCCACCTGGCCAATAATTACGCAACAAGATCTTCTCACGTTCATATGTGTACTATACTCTCAATTTTCCGTGACTACCACTTTGTAAGGCCTGTGGCGGGTGCGCCAGCGTTTGCGCCAATGAAAGGATTTGTAGATGCGGCTATAAGGAAAATACAAATTGAATAATCGATTAATCAGTGATCAACTATGCCAACAGATTGCTACGCTACTGAATGATTTTCATTTCGCGTTTAAGACCACGAAAAGATGAGCGAACTAAAACTATCTAGACTTATTTTAAACGGAATTAGAAATCCTTTTTTCTTTTAACACTAGAACTACGGTAGTTCTAGTGTTAACACTAAACATAGCGACACTTTGCATGTACCTATTTCTACCGTAACCAGATCAAATAACATTTCTTTTATGGAAATTGAAATAGAAGACAAAAATTGAAAAATACTAGTCGGACAATATAGGAAGTGGTATATAGTTAAATAAACGAAGAAAAACGGACAATTTGAAATAAAATTCTAAAAGCGATCATTTGATCAGTTGCGGTACGTTTCATTTTGAGAATGAACACATTTGCGACTAGTGTTTTTTTCATAAGCAATCTTTATGGTTACAATATTTAATGCAATATTAAGTGCAACAAATCGTATGTATAAGATGCAAATGAGATTTAGAGAAAAAATCTTGTCAACTTTCTGCACGTTGCACCATGCTGTACGATTTTAGGTAAAAATATACGTGAAAGCAATTCCATTTTTTTACGCAAAATGGTAAATGTTGAATATTGTAAATATGTCACTGGTCACGAAGGTGTTAATTCGTATGGTACTGAGTTCCGTTTAAAAGAAATTGATATGATTGAAAAATATCGAAAATCCTGAAACATGATAACAATTGTTTTTCTTTAGGATAGCTTTTTAGAAAGTTTCTCAGGGTTATCACGTTTCAGAATTTTCTACATTTCTTATACGTGAAGCATGAGATTTGTATCGATATGAATAAATTTACATATAAAAGGAGTTAAATATTCGAAATAAATTATGAACAAAGAATTTGACAACTACTTTCAGTTTCGGTATTCACGTTACAGGTATATGTGTTTAGGTACGATAGCTTAAAGTTTATGCGGTAACATAGCTGTAGTAACTGTAAATAAAATATAATGGCAATATAATAAAAATAAGATGTTTCTACGATACAGTAAACATAAAATATTTGTTGATCAAAGTATCTTTAATGAAAAGCAAAATACATGTTGATTGTAAAGCGTTTAAAAATATTTCATACATAAAACCCATATTTCGCGGGCACAAGTTATGTATTTCTTATTATATTTTAAATAGTGTGAAATATTTACATTTGAAAACACCGAAATAGCATCTGAAATTCCGAACACTTTATGTATATATATATATTTTTTTTTTGGATACCATTTTGGATTTTCCAATTTATCCCATTTCAAAAACTTAAGGTTAAAACCTTTTTCAGCAGACTAACATGGAACAAATAACACAGCAAATAAGATTATTTGCATTATTACCGTATTAAATGTATATTATACCAGTAATTTACAAATGAAATGGTAATTTACTAATAATAATAATACATTAAAATTATTCGATAAAAAATTACTTACTAAATCACAGAGAAAAAAAGATTGAAACACAATGCTAAATTAAAAATTCAAAGGAGACTAATTATTTGCAGGACAGTAACATGTTGAAATTACTTAGCAAATGAAGCACTTCAAAGAGGCCTGAGTTGTCATCTTTAAAATATTAAGTTCAATTAGAGAATATTTATTTATTAATATTATTTTAAAAAAAAGAAAGATGCACACAATGCCCGCAAAATGGTATTAATTTTGGAAATTCTGTATAAGTATAAATATGTAGAAAAACATTCCGAAATTAGGAAAATGATTAAAATGGAATGTATGAAATATTTTCATTAAAACAGAGAAGAAATTACATCTACAAAAGAGGCATAAAATAATTCAAATGAAATAATTAAAAAGAGATTTTAAAAGAATATAAAGGAACAATTGTTATTTTGTCATTTTTCAATATTTATGATATAACCGAATTTTCAGTGACAAAGTTGACTCTATTTTGAAATTATTCAAAATTATCCAACGAAGGAACTTAACATTTTCCAAATGGCAACAGAAGCCTCTGCGTTACTGCACTGCAGTTACGTAAAAGTTGGAAGGGAACGTGTTGCGGTATCTACTTTCCTTGACTTGCGCCATCGATGTTATAATGGAACCACAAGAAAAGCATGTAAATGCTAAAACGGAAAAAATACAAGCATGACAACAAAATAAGGCAAAATGTATTTACATTAAAGAGCGAATGCCCAAAGGAAAAAGGATTCTCATTGTCGAAGAATACAATTTCTTTGTCTCTTTTACTTGAGGGAAGGCTACAAATCAATGAAACAGAAGCGTTCAACGGAGTAGCGGCACTAATCGAATGAACTGTTCATACTAAAACCATAGGTCCACCTACTAAAGGAAAATAATAACGTAGTAAATATTCCTTACTCGATCATTCACTAAATGGTGGCGATCATTTCACAAGCACACATGCAACTAACACACGCGTACGCATACGGCATTCGTTATAATGTTAATTTACAAATATATTTAAATAACTTCGTATCATAATACTTGGAATAACGGAAAATCATTTTATCGGCCTCACGGTTGCACGGTTCTCCATTATTTCAAGTACACATGCTTACAGAATGTTAAATGACTGTGTAAACAAATTACCAAAAATAAAAGATATCTTTTACTGGAATAAATTCTAACAAAACTGGATTGCTCGTACAATATTCACTTTTGCAAAAATGGAAACGTATTAAACACAATTCGCTCTTCGATTATCTCTTTTTTAGATTGCTCGCTCCGGTTGGACAAATTAAAACTGTAAGTCCTCCTTAAATATACGTAACGTAATTAATTTAATAAACTGTGTAAACAATTACCTCTACACAGGAAAAAAAAATTAAAAATATGTTATTAAAAATCGATTCTGTTTTTCCTAGTTATAAGAGCAAAGATATTCTGTTTCAAACGTTAGATTAAGAGTCTGGTTTGCACAGGATAAAAGATCTCAGTTTTTACCACTCGTTTCTAATCTCAATTCGTCTGGAAGAAAAACGATGACATTACGAAGAACAGTCGATTCGCCATATCTTTTTTGTCGTTTAACATAGAAGACGATGATTTACTTTAATTATAAAAACCTTGAAAATAAATAAACAGATTTGGACGATATTCTAGAACGATTAAAAGGAATTAGACAATATTGTTTTCAGAGTGCGCGTGCACGTACACGAAGACATAATATGAACTAGAAAGCCAACGTCGGACAAGTAAATACCTCGTTGACTTTTCATACGACGTATTGGAAATTCTACACTTCATTACAGTGTTTGAAGAAAAGTATAGGCTAAGTCGGAGAGGGATGGACCACTTTTTTTGAAAAAACAATTACATCATAATATCGTTAATACCTAATAAAATATAATATATTTATGAAAGTAAATTACATATATGAAGAATATGTTAACATTTAGCTAACCGAATGAGAAGATTTTTCATTTTTCACTTAGCAAAGTATTGCCATTTATTTTGTTTATTTTTTCTTTGTTTTTTTAAAAACACTTTAAAAACACAATCAATGTCAATTAATGTTAATGAGAAAGGTTACAGTTTTTTTTAAGCGATTGTCTAAGTGTTAAGTAGGCATCTGTGCAAGATTCAGTATACTACTAAAATAATTGAAAATATAGATATTTGATAATTTAAATACGATCGGACCATCTCACCCAGAATCACCCTATATATACGAGCCATGAAGCGACAATGGAGCTTTTCCTGAACCAAGAGATAGTGAAGACTTTCAAGCTGACAATGAAGACATTTTAACAATAAAGTTTCATTTTATGAAAAATCAGAAGACTATCATAGTGATCATTTTCTTGTTGAAATCAACTTGTGTGATATCTCTGGATAGAGACACACATATCTTAATAAAGTCAGCAGAAACATCTCCAAAAATTGGAAACAGTAACAATCAATTCCCATCACATATCACGGACAAATTTTCCAGAAGAGCCACTGTCACTTAAAAACTAACAAACCGTAACGAAGACTCAAAGAACTACTTATCAATTTTTCTACATATTTCGTTTAAACTTTCACACAGTTTAAGTTTCAAACATTTTAGATTCTGTTATTAAGTCTGATGTAATCAACTCAGAACTTAAGTTAGACATAAGTGGGTGAAAAGTTAATTGAATTCTATAAAAGCCTACGAGACGATATCGCGATTGGTGTACTTGTTAAAAATTATCTGGAACCTTACAGTAAACCGTAAAACGACTTTCAATGTAAAGTTCTAAATTCCAGAAACGTTGCTTACATTCAAAACGTAACAAACAATAGAAGGAATCGACTTTTGTATTACTATCGGAGTAATACGTTTCACAGATATTGGTACAGTATACTACCAATGACGTAATAATATTCAACATTCAGAATGACATTGTTACAATTCACATTGCTAATTAATTTTCAATTACATATTATCAAATGATCGACTTAAGATATCACGAACGACAAAATACGAGCATTGTAACTAAACTTAAAAAGTTTACGGTACCGAGCCAATATAAAATAAGCGCACACAAGGTGATAAACATTAGAAAATTTACATTAAAAAAATTCATGCATGTAAGACAACGTAAGAAAAAAGGAAAGATTCATAAGCCAAATACTTAAGTTATACGGTATCATCGCCTTTTACGATGGAAGAAAACTGCTCATCCTCGGTACACATTACTCGGTGAACTAAAATGACTCGTATACAGGGTGTTTTATAATACACAGACGCAATTTCCGTAACAAAATAAATACACAGAAATAATATAGAAGTTAACAAAAATGTTCGTGCCATTACACTTTTTATCAAGCTTCAAAAATTTTTCATTCTCCTCGCAAGTCATTATAGCAAGCTTTTATTACAAAAATTAAACTGCAGCGAGCAAAATGATTTATTAATCTATTCTAAATGAACTTCTGTATAATAAACTCGTGTAACTTGGAGACAACGTAAAACAATATACCATCGATCATTTTAATAAACTTTTCGCATTATTTCAATGTATCTAGTATTTACTCGGAACTAGATTAATTTATAATGAAGCACTCGGTATAATAAGAAAATACTGCATTATTTCTTTACGAAGATACAGATCTAAAGAAACAGTTCCTTTAACTTAGACAAGAAAAAAAAGTTATGGCGCATCGAATGTGTACACTGAACCAACAAATTCTACAATTTTCATTATCGTTTCAATTATAATTCAAGACTTAGGACTGAAATCTCATGATCGTCTCAATTACAATTCGCAATTTATCAATTGAAGAAAGAGGAAACGAAATATAAAACGTGTCACGATTCTCAACACCTCACGTTCAAAATAAATTATTGCTGTTCAAAATGTACAACGAAATAAGTTAGCGATCCTCAAGCACGACCGATGTGATCCTCTAACCGAGGACCGACCGAGTCGTTTAGCATTGCTTCCCAACGCAATCTATCGATTGCATGACTAAACTACAATTCAAAAATCCAGTCATCGGGCAAAGTGATGAATTGTAATCAACGTTGCCGCGCGTAACTACCCACTAAAATTACAGAACGATTAGGATTACGCTTAATGGCCTACGTCATCGCGATCACGCGTGCTTGCACGCGGCACGACCCGTAACAACGCACCCTGTCGGGTGCAAGGTATTAACACATTATCTACCGGCAGTTATTAAAAATTTTATCAAGAATTTCTTGACAAATATTTCAGTAGAAAAAACAATGGCAATTCTGACTCAACAAATCATTCTGGGAAATACAATCTAATCGCTTTCCTTCGAAACACTAGGTTTACGGTCATTTATAGAGTACATTCTATTGTCCCTAGAAGAAACAATGTTCGTCCGTTTAGATCTTGGAAATTAGAGATTCAAAAGTAGACAATTAGGATACATAAGTCATATTTCACATGCTTCAACACTTAGCCAACCAAACGAGATCTCCCATCTTTCACTTACCAACGTATTACCTTTTATTTCATTCATTTTTCTTTTGTTATTTAGCAAGTCTTGAATTGAGAATATTTGCAATTCATCGAATACCTTCTTACTTCTATAAAACAAAGTTTTTAACCACCTCTATTGATTAAGTTCAATTGAAGTTAGTGAAGGTTATAGTTTTGTAGTCTTTTTTAGGCGGTTGCCGAAGTGTTAATGTTTTGACATTCTGCTAGATATTGAAGCAGTAAATTATGCTGATCACAATTGAGTAACGTCCAGAAAATTCAATGTGCATCAAATTGACACGTAACTCTAGTGTTAAATTGCAGTTCGGTGACAGCCCTTAAGAAGCTTGTTAATAGTCTTCCGGTAGATAAAGTGTTAATGGAGAAAGAAGAAGAAAGCAATGGTT